TTTCATCCATGAATGCAAGCTCACACATCACAGTTGCAAACTATAGCCATCGGCGACAATACGCCTGCAGGCCAAATGCTATATTTTAATAATCACATCTCAAGAGATCTGGTCAAGCAATAACGGCAGATGTCTATTGTACCGAACTCCAAACAATGTTGACAAAAATAGCATTTAAACAGCCCCGACTCATGCATCGATCTTCACCATTATTGCTCCATGACAACGCGAGACCTCATGCAGCACGAGAGATCGTTTTGACCATTCGTCATCCTCTGTATTCGCCTGACCTTACTCCAACGGACTACCATTTTTTTCGTTATTTGGACAATTATTTACATGACAAGAAGTTTCTTCCCAGGAGCTAGTACAAAATGCATAAAAGTTAACATTAGCAGAATTATCCTGCTGATAGAAGGTTAGCTGAAAATACACTAAAAGCCGCCACTATTTTACAACTTGAAATTGGCAGCTGCCATTGGCTTTTCTATATTGATATTATGACATATAATGACTTAAAAATTCATGCTCAAGTTTAAATGATAAGTTACTAGGTTGGAGCTATTCCGTGTAAGTGTGACCTTTATTCCTGACCAGACCAAAGCAAGGGAAAATTTATAGCAGATTATATTTTTACTTAAAATAAACAAGCTCACCTGCCAAATATTTCTAATTAATTATATAATTATGTAAGTATTTAATAAGAGAGACAGAGAATAGGTGCATTCGAAATGTGGTGCTGGAGGCGTATGCTCCGAATTCCGTGGACAGCCAAACGCACAAATGTGTCTATTCTCTCCTAGCTTGGCATTAAATCCCGACTCTCGAGTTTGTGTCTGCAATGCACACTCTATTACTTCGGCCACATTATGCGAAAAGGAGGTGATAGCCTTGAAAAACTGGTCATTGTTGGAAATACAGAAGGGAAAAGATCACGAGGTCGGTCACCGACACGTTCTGCGAGGTGGTGAGGGCTGCTTCCGACCGGAAACGATGGAGAAGGATTGTTCGTTTGACGAGTTCCAGTGACCACGGATCCTCAGTAATGAGGGGCCGACTACAGAGAGAGACGTAATTATTAGGTATCTAATAACAATAGTATAGTCCAGAAGCTCTTGTGCTAAGGTATAATAACGAAGCTACTAAAACACGAGTTTATTTCATAAAAGATGTAGCCGTAAATAGAACCTGGGATCTAGGGACAAAGAAAGACTTTACTAATCTATTTATCTTACTATTAAATACGATATAATCGGGGATTACTTAAATAAGTATAACTGCGAAAATTCTATAACAAGCTATTCAACACCCAATCAGTGTCTAGCAACAGACACATTCTTGCCGATGTGACTGCGAATTGCGCAATAATCTTCCTTATGGATGAATTCCTTATGGACGAATAAGGAGAAGAGGCCATAACCAGTCGGCCCAGTCGGATTGGTTGATGTAACTGACTGCAGATACATCCGAGACTTAACGTGCCTTACGGAATTCAAGTTTAATAAATACATAAAAATAATAATAAAATAATATTTATTAATTGCGAATACTTCATTCAACAATAGCTGCTGGACATCGCATCGCCCCATCTCACTACGTATAAATTCAATTTTATCTTGGAATCACTTAAATGTTAAAGTTCACTTAAATGAAATCTTTATTAGCTTTTCGAGTAGGTTTTATTTGATTGAAATAAAACTAATAACCTTTACGCTATTCTCACTGTCATCGCCTGTGATTTTTTTTTAAAGCAGCATTGCAGTATTCTGCTACATCGGCTACTTCTTCAGTAACAGTGCCGAGCAGGTTTCTTCTAAAGACTACAAAAAAATATTTTTTGTGTCATACATTATAAAATAATGTAGATAAGTATTAGCATACTATTTTAAAATTTAGTAAGTAAAAATAAACTCTTATCATTTGGCAAGCATACATATTATATATTTTGATATATAATATGTATATATTATATATTTTGTCAAAAACAATTAATTAACTAAATAATTAACTATTATTAATAGTGTTAATAAATAATTAACACTATTAATAATAGTCAGTAATTTATATGTCTAAAGTATTATTTTGTCTGTCATTTAAATTTCAATGTTTTTGGGCACCAAATTACGCAATTGCGCAACAATGAAAAGATTACTATATGCAGTTTATTTGGTTGGTATACTTAAATTTTAGTTTAAAAGTTAACAAAGTTAATCAAATAAAAGTAGGTGAAAATGAAGCGAACGCGTGGCATGAGTAAAAATGGCATATGAATATTATAATATGGTGATTATACGGTTTTAGTAGCAGTCAAGTGACGTCGCAACAAGCTTTATTAACGTGTGTGATTTTAATTTTTTGATAAATTGATAAATTTTTGAAAAGCAAAATAGATAAGATTAATAACAATAAAAACGACGTAGAAAAATGGTTAGTTCCACACTACGAATCGGCCGTGTAGGGGATGCGTGGCAATAAATAATGGATCATTAAGGAGAAAATAAAGCTGTGCTGTTATTGAAACTTGTTTGTAAATTATATAATATTAACGGCACAAATTTGATTTTTTGCTTACTCTGTAACACTCGCATAGTCGAGAAGTGTAATAAGATGAGGTAATGACATGATTTGTTTCATTTGTTTGTGTTGTGGTGAAAATTTATTGTGTTTTTGAAAATGTATACCTATTTTTGTGTATTATTTTTAGTATTGTAACCGGCTTCAAATACTTCTATTTAGTCTAACCTAACCCCTGCACCCTAAAATAGAACTCAGCTCATATGATCTCAGCTCAGCTCAGCTTTTATAACGTTATTTAAGAATTATTTAAGAATAAGAAAGTAGTTTATTTTTTTCTGAAATATCGTTTCAGTGGCCTATTAATAAGTTATTGACAATATATTGTGTTGACTGCTTACTTTATCTTTAATTTTAATCGTTGGAAATTTACTAAGAAAACAAAGTGTATTGAAATAATGCGACCTTTTGCACCGCGTAAAGAAGCTTGATAACATAAAGTTAATACATAATATTAGCAGCTCGGTGGCGAAGTGCATAAGCGCCGTGGCCCGGGATGGGCGACCCAAAATTGATTGTCTTGAGCTATTCCGTAATTCAAAAAGCACGTTAACTCGTTACTACCCACCATAAAATCGAATAGGGAAGTGGGTCATGGTCACCCATTCTCCCTATTCGATTTGATTCGATTACGTATATAGGAAAGGATTGACTCCAAAAGTAAGGACATTAATAGTCTCATGATGACGATGGTAAATAGATCAAAAGTTATTTTAATTAAATAATACTTAAAAAATGTGGTCCATCAAAGCAGTTATTTGATAAGCCACTTTGTGTGCAATAAACACATGACGCATCCTATGCTTACCTTTTTTTCGGTTGCCTATCGGCGTTTATAATTAAATAATTACCAGAAAAAAAGAAAGAATAAAAACCAGACATTTTAAATTCATTAGTAAGTAATCATTTTTCACTATAAATAGCTTCATAACAAAATAAATTCGGTCGTACGAGACGATAACAAGTTTCCACAGTGCACATTACATAGTAATGTAATATTTTAACTTTTTAACTAAAATGTTATTTTTCCAAAAAAGTTCGGTCTAGCTCTAGTATCGGTCTAGCTTTAAATTTTTCGGGTTTTCAAAAAAAAAAACAATAAATCTAAACCGCGTCGGTAATTTTATTCAGAATATGTATTTCAATTTAATAGGGAGAGCAATAAATTTCTCTACGTGATCAAATTAGAAATGAAGAGATCCGTAGGAGAACTAACGTTACTGATATTGCTCAAAGAATTGCTCAGCTGAAGTGAGAAGAACTGATGGCCGTTGGACGCAAGAGTTCACGAATGGCGATCACGTAACGGAAGACGCTCAGTGGATAGGCCTCCCACATAGGATGCGGGTAGCGCAGAACCGATCCTCTTGGAGATCTATGGGCGTCTTACGGCTGTTGATAATAATTATATATTTTAAAGAAAGAAGAACGCACAAATCGATTCACTATTGATGAACATGTTGAGGAATATAAATAAAATGTATTTTACGGTAATAAAAAAGCAAATAATTTTCAAAAAATAATTTTATCTCCTGGCTATTAATGCCATAATTACTGCTGTCTGGCACAAGCCTTTCATAAAGATGAAACAAATCGAATAGAGACAATGGGCTATGCCATGTCTCACAATCTGGACCCTGTGTTGATTAGCGGGAATTAATAACCGCAGATAACGGCTTTCCGAATCACGGAGAAGCTCGAGATAATAAAAAATTTTGCTCACTTATCCTGTGACTGGTCTTTGCGAACGTTGCTTGATTTCCACATCGCAAACCGAACTCTTTAACCGCTGCACTTCTGAATTGAATTAAGTGGTGAATTTCTTTTTATATAAGTTGCCTGTTTTTGTACTTTCTTCGCATTCCGATAATTAACGATCTATTTGTTCTTAAAGGTATGTATTAGATTATAGACAGTTGGTTACCCTGCAGATAATAAGTAATGATAACATTTTTGGAATATTTTAATTTCGTATTCATCCTTATTTCTTAACCTCCATTCCAAAGCTTGTCTATTTTCTTTTATTGTGCAAATTGTTTCTATAAGTAGTAATTTGTCAATGAGTCTTCATATAAATCGACTATCGAGAGTATACTGTATTTTTATTTTTGGTAGATTAATGGAAAATGACGTCAAAGCCTATTGAAGTTATTTTCCAATTGGACTTCTCTGTATGAAATAAAACAGGGAGAAAAAATCAGCGCTTAATTAGTTTCTTGCCTGTTCTTGCCTTTCAGTACAAGGCCTCCCGTCATAGATTTGCGAAGATTTACTATTAACGACCTATACTAAATAAATGATAAAGAAATTGAATTTAAAATAAAATAATTACGACCGTAAAATCGCAATAACTGAATATACAAAGTTATACTGACTATATTTACACTATAGTAAGGTACACGGAATTGCTTGCAGATTAATATTATAAACAGTCATCCATCGAAACAAATCAGAAGAGGTGCGACAATCGAAGGAACACATCTAGTACTCACAATGAAGCAATTTATTTCCAGTAAGTTTATATCTTAAGCCGGTATTTTTCTTAACAAACTACATAATAATTTGACTCTTCTAAATATGAAGACATCATCATCCCTTTTACGTCCCCACTATAGGAGCTCAGGCCTTCCCTACAGATAGTTAAGGAGGACGGGCTATGACACTCCACGCTGGACCAATGCGGTTTGGAGGGTATTTGGACTGCATTTGCAGTCGTGAATACCAACGGCTTAACGTGCCTTCCGAAGCACGGAGTAGCTTTTGGTCACCCATCTCGTGACCGACCCTTACGAAAGTTGCTTAACTATCAGAAGTAGTTGTAAAACACTGATTGAAATTATTTTAATTACTAAATTATCATGTGTTAATTAAGAAGATCATACTCTGAAAAGTCGTGGAACGCAACGACTCATCGCGCTTTAGAAATGTTTGCAATAGTCTGTCCAGAGGTTTTCCAACACTTGACCTCCGCACTGGGTACTTACAAATAAAAAACCTTGTAATTTATTTAATGCTGCCACCGGAGGATACTGCTTCCGAAAGATGTAAATAGCGTAACAGTTTTCGTTAGTAGCACTTCACTTTAGCCCTTATCTAGGGGATCTTACCTAGGGGTTCTTAGACATGATAAATTAAAAATGCTCTATAAATAATAATATGTTTTTTATTAAATATTTATTTTTATTTCTAGTTCTAGCCATGGTTGCCATGGCAATGGCAGATGAATCGAGCGTACAAAGACTCCTCATTGATGCAACTAATCATTTCACCGCTAAAATGTTTACTGTGAGTAAAATAACTACTTATATGTTTTATAAGCAACTTCTAATGTACGTATGTAAATATTTATGTAGGTATACACACGACTTTACGTCAGTTTACCATTATGTGAAATATACGCAATTGATTTTGATCTATACACACAATGCATTAGGTTTTAAAATGAAGTTAAAAAATTACAGTTTTACAACCTGACGGTCGGGTACTGTGTATGTCTGTATAATCAATCAAATCGGTTATGCCTCATCTGATTATGCTTAAAAATCTACAATCAGACTAAGTTATGTGTTTTAAACTTAATATGGCGATGGCTCTATACCTATTTTCAAAATTATGATAGAACCAACCACTTTTTTTTTTTGAAGACCTTTTAATGTGGTTAAAGTAGAATTTGTCTGTTTTGGTTTAACCGGTATGTTTGTAAATTATCTGCATATATATATGATAGCACATCCGAACGTATATTAAAGAGTAGTGGTCCGAGAATGGACCCTTACGGCACACCTATGTTCACTATTTGCTGGAAAAAAACTAGAAATAGAAGTATCATTGTTACTCAAATAGACTTATTCTATATATTTTCACTTGTTTAAGTTTTGCAGCATTAAAGTTATAATATGTATCAAACAAACAAGGAATAGGGATGATGACTGGGTAAAAAAAATGCAAATTTATTTAGTCCGTCAGTCAGACAATAGAAAAATATTAGATACGTATTTTTTTTTATTTTAATTTAACAAGAAATAGCTTAGATAACAGGTATTAAAGTTGAGGAGTGGGGGCTCGCTACGTCACAGTTGAGTAGAAAACGTACCCTAACGTGACGTCATGCGAAATTTCAACTCCATGTAACGCCGTAATTTTATGATTACGAAAAAAATAAAAAATACGTGTTTAATATTTTTTAACACTCTACCTGATGGACAAACAAACAAAAATTAGTCATCATCCCTATTAAGCTGATAGATCTAAAATTTTAAAAATAGCAAGATATTGATAATGGTTGAAGTTATATTGTCATCGTTTGTAATGTAATCCAAAACAAATAGTTGCCGATAAACTGTACTACTTCTTCTCGGTAAATATGAAAAATAAAATGTTACTTGCGCCTGCAAATGAGAAATTATTTGAATGCTACTGTCAGGATGTAATGCTAACATCGGGAGAATATGACTTCTTTAGTGTTGTTGACTGGTTTATTATTTTTGTTAATATGAAATTTGAAAAGGTCTTTTTTCATTATAAAAAGCAGAACTCACAAGTTACTTGAACTCTGTAAAATATTATCAGTATCAGAAGTTCTTGTAAAACTCTAACTGAAATTATTTTAATTACTAAATTATCATAAGTTTATTAAGAAGATCATACTCGGAAAAGTCGTGGAACGCGACGACTCTGTAAAATATTATCTTTCTTTGTTATCAAATATCTAGTATCAGCAAAATTCTTAAATAAATCAATAACTGGTTAAAAACTTTAGGCATTAACTTATATCAACGTTCAATAAATTATTAAGTTAATTCGTAGAATACTAATATGTTTAGTAAATTGACCATGTTTATGATTTGTAAGAAGGAAAATACATCGTAACAAATAAATTACGATTCTCGGTATTATGAGTACGTTCTAAAAATAATTCTGCATCTCTACATCTTAAGCCGGTATTTTTCTAAGAATATTATTTTTAGAGATCATGTCATAATTGACCTTCAAACGATCTCAAAGTTAAAGTAATCATACAACGTGCACTTTTCACAGTCATAACGCTTAATAGTATAAGTTCTTAAAAACTGTAGCTAAGCAACAAATTTTCGTACACATCAACGCATTCCACAAATGATCAATTTTTTATCGACTTCAAAATCCAAAAGGAGGTGGTTATATGTTCGACGGCGATGTATTTTTTTTTATATTTACTGATGTTATGTTATATCCGCCAATTGTTGACCTAATTTCAAAATTCCTTATATATTAAATGAAATTCCACCAAACATCACCAAAATATTTAGTTGATATGATACGACATTGCTCATTTCAGCTAAAAAACAAAAGATTGCGTGTTTGGAATTCATTCAAAATTGGAAAGGTGAATTTTCTATGTTCAAGGAGTATGTATATTTTTTTATGAAAGTACGTACATTATTCAATTTCTTCTTGAATTCTGAACCAATATAACCAAACTAGCTCTTTTCCTGCAACTTCGCCTGCATAAATTATAGTCGCTTTCCATAGATGTATTAAATAGATTTCCATATATGAAAGAAACAAGTAATCCAATCTAGGAAAGATTTTTAAAATATAAGTATAGAATTATTGGAATAAATGATGTATAAAATCTTATCTTTATCCACTCACTACTGAGGTATATATATATATATATTTAGTATATTTTTTATATATGACCACCGTAGCCGAGGCGGAGAATATATCTACCAACGTAATATGTATAGATGTAAATAGTTCATTTAAAACAATCTAAGCAATTCTGTATAAGCTGACGCGCTGTTGACTGTAATATTTTGTAATATTTTTGTTTTTTACACCATATTTTATGAATACATGGTTGTATGATCTATGCTTTTAACATAGGTAAAATTTATTGAACATTTCGCTCTCTCTCTCTATAAGAGTTGTTTTTTTTTATTATTTTTTGCTGTTAGACCTCAAACGTAAAGCCATAGTCATTTAAGATAGCTATATTACTTTTATATTTTTAACTTGTTTTATAGGTATTATTTTTTCCATGTTGTGTTTTTATTATTACTTCCTCTTTCTTTATGTTTTGTTTTAATACCTCTTCTATTATACAATCTTAGTCTTTTTCTTTTGTGAAACACCAGTCACGATTAAAATACTTATTTACTCATCATTTCTTTGTCTATAGGAAGTCGCAAAAGAGAATTCCGGCAAGAGTGTTGTAATGTCCGGTTTCTCAGCGATGGCACCTCTAGCTCAACTGGGCTTAGCCTCAGTTGGCATAACACATGACGAAATCTTCGAAGTCATCGCCCTACCTAATGATAATGCTGTAAGTACTACTGGGTTAGAATTATTATAATAAACAAAATGACAATATGGTATTGCATAACAGGTGAAGTCCGTGAAAATACAGTAGGTAGTGTCGATCTGTGGGAACTTAAAATAGGCGGACCCTGTAACTATAAACTTCCGTTGACAAAAATAAAACAAGTATATGTAAGTTTTCAAAAGCACCGTGGGTTACTTTGCTTAAATATTAACGTAAAAAGATTCTATAATAATAATATATATAAAATTCATAACAGTTTACTTAATGTGATGAAGTAACACTTCTGTCGCCTCATAAGACAATGGGAGAAGCCATTGTAAAAGTGTATTTTTGAGCTGTCTGGTATTTAAAGGATATTATTAATAAATCATAAAGAACCCAGAAATGGTAGGAATCTATGGCTAAAGGATTTACGAAAATGTCGACCCTTGACTATTCGTCTATTACGGAATTTAACTTATAATAAAAATAACATATAATAGAAACAGAAATAGTTTGATAAAAAAAATCCAAATAATTTGATGGAACTATTTTTGGAATAAACTTTCGCTTTAAAAAATTAAAAGTTATAGACCACTAGATTACTATACGACTTATTGTTTACACAATAAAAAATGGCAATTTACTAGCTTTCCAAATCATCATAACTTAATAGGGGTCACGACAAATTTTTGTTTCTTTGTCCGTCAGGTAGATTATCGAAAATATAAAACACGTATTTTTATTTTTTTCTTAATCATTAAATTACGGCGAAACATTGAGTTAAAATGTCACATGACGTCACGCTTTTCTAGAGGTACAAAACTGTGACGTAGCGAGCCCCTACTTCTCAACTTCTATTTCTTGCACAAACAGCTATTTCTTGTTAAACTGCAGTAAAAAAAAACGTATCTAATATTTTTCTATTATCTGACTGACGAACTAAATATAATTTTTTTTTTACTCAGTCATCATCAAAGTGCAATATGTGCGGTTAAAATACAACTCAATAGAAAAAAATCATATTAAAGTGTACAATCAATACACCCGTGACCTTTGTAATCCGGACGACTGCTCTCACCACTCACCCAAGAACTAACAGGATTTTTCAAACACTTGTTACTTTTTCGCTACTACAGAAATTAAAATTTGTTCTAATTATTATACATACATCAACATCGTCTAGGGATATTTTGTATAAAGATCTAAATTAAAAAAAAACTGGCCGGTTTTAAAATCTTTTGATGAAAACTTATTTTGTACGCCTTTTTTTATGATTCTAAATTTGAATTTTAAAAAATATACAAGATTTGCGCGGCATAATTCAAGCGAAGTTCAAAGTTTTCCTACCATAGTTTTTGAAGATTTTTTTGTGTTAATCAATAGTTTTAAAACAAGTTAGCTGTTTAATTTGAATTTGTGCCCCTGTATGCATTATGCAGCGACGCCATTTAACAAGAAAGGAAATGTTAAGGGCAGTAGGCATGCTCCAAGCTGGGGCTACTCAACGGAGTATTGCTGAGGATATCGGCATAAAACAAAAGGTGATATCACGGTTATGGTCACATTATCGTGCTAATGGTGAAGTGGCTGGAAGACACCTAGGTGGGAAGCGCATAACCAACCAACAAATTGCTGCGAGAAGGCAACCAAATGTTACGGTCATGCAGTTGGTTCAAAAGCTCCAGTCAGAGCACCAGTTGCTTGTGAGTGACCAAACTGTGAGGAGAAGACTGCATGAAGCTAATCTTCATGCTCGCAGACAGCTTCGTACTCCTGCACCACTCCGAGAAAATCGTGGAAGAAGATTACAGTGAGCTTGTGAACATTTGCTCTGGGAAGGTAACTAGTGGTCTGTAGTGCTGTTTACCGATGAGTCCCGATTCGGTTTTCAACCTGATTCGCGAAGAGTACGCGTATGGCGAACTCCTGGTCATTAGAGCCGCCTGCAACACCCTCAGGAAGTCCATCCATCATTATGGTTTTGGCGGGAATTCGTGTTGGTGGAAGAACAGACCTCGTTTGGATCAGAAACACCATGACCGCTGAAAAATACCTTAAGCAAGTGCTAATACCAATAGTCTACCCAAATCGACTATAAATGGTCAAGATTTCACGCTCATGCACGACAATGCTCGTCCCTACACAGCGCGAGTGGTCACTTGCTGGCTGCAGGAGCACGATGTATCGGTCTTAGACTAGCCTGCGCAATCACCAGACCTAAACCCCATAGAACACGCGTAGGACTTGCTCCAAAGAAGGGCTTTGAGGAATTTACCTACAAGCATTGTCACTGAAGAGCAACTTTTTTGCATCTTTCCTGGGACAATACCCCGCAGCAAGACTGATAAGTTGATTCGAAGCATGAGAAATCATTGTAGGACCGTTGTCGACGTCATGGGTGGTTTTACTGACTATTGATTTTCGCAAAATTGCAAATAACGGAATATTTTTTCTTGAAAAATACATTTATCGTTATTTTTACCATTATTATACTTTTCGTTTTTACTTAAATAATTTATTTTTGGGTACATAAACATATTTATGTTTTATTCTATAATCTACGCTAATAAATGGGCTTTATTAAAATATAAACATGTTATATGTTATTCAGAAAAATAAACTGAGAAAATTAAGAATAATTAAAATATTCCTAGACGATGTTGATGTGTGTATTTGATAAAATTTGCATTAACAATGATTTTTTAATTTTTTAAGCATTTTTCATGAAGAATACTTTTCAGTATAGCATTGTGAATGCAAAATTGAAATGCAATGAAATGCTAAATAATAACTTTTTGTTTTTCTACATAAGCCCTAACGGGACCAATAAGACAACCAGCTTTTGCGTGCTTTGAACATAGTTACATAGTTGGAACCTATAATATCACCCAAACTCACTTAGACGTTTTAGAATTGAAGGATGTGTTGTCTTTATAGTAGGATGACTATAAATTATTGCTAAAAGATGATTCATAGATTTCTAATGTAACTTAAAATCTTTTTTTTTTCAGACCAAAGAAGTGTTTTCTTATGTTAGCCAGGACGTACGGTCGGTAAAAGGAGTCGATTTGAAGATAGCCAACAGAATATTCCTTCCAGAAGATGTTGAACTAAATGAGGAATTCGGTGTAGTTTCTAGGGACGTATTCCATTCAGACATAAAGCAAGTTGATTTTGTTAAGAACGTTGAAGCTGCTGCCACTATCAACTCTTGGGTAAGTTCAATAAAAAGATAATTTAGAAAATAAAAACACTTGATTTAGTTAACCAAGTTTTCCCTAGTAATTGATGACATTTATTGAAAATAGAAGCATGGTGGCATAGTGGATAAGCGCCGCGGTCCGCGATCGTTGTTGTTAAGCAACTTTCACCCTTTTGAAATTATTATCTTAAGTTACTTCGTACTTCGAAAGGCACATTAAGCTGTTGGTCCCGACTGCATTTTCAGTCGTCTAAACCCTGTATTGGGCTAGCGTGGAGGGTCATGGCGCATTATCCTTAACCATCTTTAAGAAGGCCTGAGCCCCTGCAGTGGGGACGTAAAAAGGCTGATAAAGATGATGACAAAAAATTTGTTGAAATAATTTTATGCACATGTTACGAACCAAGTGATAAATATTGCTATTTTCCATAGTGCCCGTGCATTTATACATACAAGTCGCTGGCGGAACGCTAGTTATAAATAAATAAAAACTTATCTTAACCCTCTATTGCATGAATTATTAAATTTAATAGAAAAAAAATATTTTTATGTTTTAATGTGCTTTATTATGGCTTATAAGACAAAATATAAAGTGAAAAGAAAAATAAGTTTATTATTTTGGAAAAAAAAAACAGAAGCCATTTTTGGCTTCCGATGCACGACAAATAAACATCATACAAGGTGAAATTCTCAGAAACAGTTTCTTTTCTCATTCAAGCATAGAAAAACATTACATTTCTCACATTTTATATGGGAATGCAAAGAACAATCATTCTGACATAATTGACGAGTCCTTTGATGAATCGGAAAATGGTCAATTTTGTCTGAACGTACTGAATTTAGAGGTAGCTCTTGCACGCCGTAATAAATAATTATGATTTGAAAGTCTATACAATACCGGCCCGACAATAAATATTAAGGCTGTTGATGATGACGAAATAAGTAAATACTAATCCGTTGAACTTTATAGGTTGAGGATAACACTAACAAACGGATCAAGGATTTGGTCGACCCTCTCTCTTTAGGACATGACACAAAAGCTGTTCTCGTAAATGCCATCTATTTCAAGGTAACGTAAACATTATTGTGTTTAAATTCATGAGATAGAAAATTTAAATACTCATTACCTTATTCTTCTATTCAAATTAGGGCACCTGGAAGAAGAAATTTGACTCTGGACTAACGACAGACCGTGATTTTCATGTAACAAAAGACAAAACTATTAAAGTTCCCACAATGGCTAAAACAGATGACTTCAAATACGGCTACAGTCAGGAATTAGATGCTAAGGTATTTGTTATTTTTAATTATTTATTTTCAACATTATCAGTTATCTCTATAATTTTATTCTAATTTCATAATCATTCTTAACATACAGAAGTATAATATAGCATTGTGAAAGCAAAATTTATTTAATCGGACAATGTCCATATTTTAAATTTCAGCTCTTGGAAATTTTCTATGAAGGAGAAGAAGCATCACTCTTAATTGTTCTCCCGAATCAAATTGATGGACTAAAAGCTCTTCAAGAGAAATTGAAAGACCCCAGCGCTCTGGAGAAGGCCACAGAAAAGATGTACACCACTGAAGTCTCTGTGTATCTCCCCAAGTTCAAGATTGAAACCACAATTAACCTAGTAACTGTGCTTAAAAATGTAAGTATTGTATATGGCAGAAGACACAGAGTGGCGCTCTTTTTAACTATAAGGCACTTTAAGGCGTTCTAACTAACACATATATATATATATATATAATACTGATCAATTTTTTTTTTATATATATTATGATTTATGACCAATACTAATAACGTTAACAGCTATGATTTAGTAAAATTCACTTCCTCGTTTTAGTATTTGGAGCTAATTAATATACCGGATAAAAAAGAACTTTGGTGTACACCAAAACCACTAAACCAATTAATTAAATTAAGAGTTGAAATTTAGTTCACATACATATGTTATGTATGTGACATAAATAGGTTAATTTTAAACATTGTTGATATATTTTGGGGTAAATTAGGAAGTCCTAAAATTTGTTTTGCTTACAAAGTATATTAACTAATACCTATGTCAAATTGGTAGCCTTCTTATAATAGTTTTGCATTATAAAAGAATTTATTTGATATTAGTAACTTCGAAACTACGGGTATTGTTTTTTTTTCGTCATTTTTGACTTTTGGACATAATTAATTAAAAACAAACCTAATAAAAACTTAGCTATACCCATCAAAAGTTTTTGTTAAGAGTAGCATATTACTCTTTCTTTGGACATTTCCCAATACCGTTCAAAAATATTTACGTCTATTGCGCTTGCTTTAGACAATACCAATCGTTAAATTAACGATATCGTAAATTAAATATCTTTAAAAACATTGTGATCGTAATTGCTTTCGCATGTCAAACAGATGTATAGGATGAAGTTCGTGAATATATTTCTTTCAAATTGAAAAAGATTGCTATACGGTACAATTATAATGATACTATTAAATGAGATTAAATACTTTGAACAAAATGTGTGTCTTTTAATTTCAGATGGGGATTAAAACCTTATTTGACGACAAAAAGGCTAGACTGGAAAAGCTTCTTAAAAACTATGACGACGGTTTATACGTCAGTGATGCTATCCAGAAGGCGTTCATCGAAGTAAATGAAGAAGGAGCTGAGGCAACTGTGGCAAGTGGTGAGTGTGACATTCTTAATTTATCATCATCATCATCGACCCCTTTACGTCCCCACTATAGAGATTCAGGCCTTCCTTATGGACGGTTAAGAAGCATGACTCTCCACGTTGGCCCAATGCGGATTGGAGGGTATTGATACGACTGAAAATGCAGCCGAGACTAACGGTTTAAAGTGCTTTCCGAAGCACGAAGTAGCTCGAGATATTTATTTTATGGTCACCCATCCGGTGACCGACCCTTGAGAAATTTGATTGACAACGGGGATCGTGGCGCTTACCCACTACGTTCCCGAGTTACTTTATTTATACAAAGAGATAATTATTATATTTGATCAATTTTGCAGTCACAGTGCTATACTGGTAAATAAAAATATCAATGAAAAATGCTTAAAAGATCGTGTGTAACAGAGTACCAGGAAAAAATGGATTTTATTTTGTGTTATGGATTTTCTAGCTATTCATTGTAATTTCATTTCGGAATGAACTATATTCCATAGGATACGATGTATTCTTCATAACGTTATGATACTATACGAAAGTAGCAAGTGCTATTATGTTATAATAAAAATACCATAGAACCCGACGATGAGCGAAACGCTGTCACTGCGTAGAAGTTAAATGCAAGGTTGTGAGAGAGCCAAGCTCGGCGTCAAGTTCGAGGGTATTTTTTAACAAAATTCACTCCTGTTTGATAATAGGAATAGTACTTAGAAGTATAATTTTTTTCATTAATTTAGTTGCGTAACGTACTTATCATTTTAGTTACATATTTATTTTAATTTAGTACTATATAAAATATCACTTAAAAAACTAACTTCAAATACATATAATTAATTAGGTATAACTTACAAGTTTAAAAGTGATCTCCAACATTACTTTTCTATTGATTAAACAAACTTAAAACAAATATTATAAATAATACTTAAAACAAATGTTATATTTATTATAATTGGTACCTTACGTAATTAATTTTGTAACTGTTAAATAAAAATTCATGAAACTATGTTTCTAAAGTCCAAAATAATAGAAATATTAAAATCTAATTAAGCTTATTGACCTATTAGTTTTTTTTACATACAGGATAATCATGAATTTATATAAATTCGCTATCTCGCGTAATTAATCTAGATAGTGTGAAACTGGCAAGTAGATCTGTCTGTCCTACATGTAATGATTCTAATCGCCTCCAACGTTATAGTAATAAATCTATTTTCACAAATAATAAATTTTCTATGGAGATAAATTATTTGAAACTAGTAATATTTCTTAAAATCATTGTAAAAAATTTAACTATAGCTGAAATGTATCGAAAATACATGGTTTATCCATAGATGATATTCTCTAATCAAAGGGTTTATCAGGAAAAAATAGCCTACAATGAATGTTTATGGTCACCGTTTTTTTTTGTTTTGCGACAATTTAAGCTTTTTACGTTATTGTCGTTCGCTATAACCAGTAACCAACACCCAGATCTGAATTCAATAAAAGAATTTCAAAATATATTTCAGTTGTTATAAGTATGTACAAACGTCTAATTAATACAAATTTATTAAAGTCACGCAAATAAAGTTCTTAACAATGGTGTTATTATGGTCCCACATTGCAAAACTAAAAATACAGTATAATATAAAATAGGTACTATATATAAACCTTCCGTGTGCAATTCTAACTCGCTCTTGACCAGTTTTTAATTTTCAAAAGTTCTGCGACTTTTAGACATCCATCGAAAATGTTACATTTTATTTAACTTTCCCTTTATTAAATATTAAAAAAAAATAGATGCTTGCCCGAAGATGCCCGAAGACAGTTTAACAAACACTTCCAACGTTTGTAAAAAAAAGGAGCATAGTAATCCTTAATATATTTTATATCTCTTCCAGTTTACGTAATATACTACAGAACAGACAGAGCTTATGTGCAAAATGTTCAATTTGATGCAAATAGACCTTTCATCTTCGCGTTAAAACTGAAAAATATATTATTATTTATGGGTATTTATAATTAAGGAATAAAAACCTTATTGTAATATGTGCTGTATTGTAAAATAAATAATATGATAATCTAATACGATTTATGAGTGAGTATTCATATAACACTTTATTAATTTTAGGAATGTCTGAAACCTTTCGACATTGCCATTCCTATGTGTATATTATTAGTTGTTAAAATATGTGTATTAAACTTACCGATAGTCGGATTCCCAGTCTAAATTCCAGTTGATTTTGAGTTCTACTCACTAAACATTACGATTTAGAAATAAATGGGGAAATTTGACATAAAAAAAAACTTACATTAAGGGAAATATACAAATATATAAAGTGAAACCATTTTTATTAAAAATATATAATTTCAAATAAGATTCAAAGTCAACGTGAGGATAACGTTTTGTAAAGTCTTCTGAGCTAAAAGGAAGCTCAGATAAACCGCTGTTTTCAACCTGAAATATATTTATTCGAAATGAAAGGACTATAGAACGATTAACTTAAAGAAAAAAGTTTTAATAATCACCTCCAGAGAAAATGTTTTCGTAAAGAAAAACTAGATTTATATATTTACCAGTAGTACGCAATGACAGACAAGGAGAATCTGAAACAATTCCATTCAATGCAAATAGACAATCTATGGGTTAGAACTAAAAAAGAAATTCGTATTTCTGGACATTTTTCAAATATTAATTAATAGTTTTATGGTATTGTTATATTATAAGAGCAAAACAAATCGATTCAATTAGAAAAATATCATTTAAGTTATTTGAAAAATACAAAAAAATTGGAAATGTACCTCGTTTTCTAATGCCCTTTTGGTCACTGAAAATACTTCACAAACGAATTACAGGGCGTCAAAAATGCTGATATTATAGCCGATTTCTTTTCTGAGTAAATTGGTAAAAGATTAAATGTTAAGACGTAAAAAATACATATAGGTACACAAATAAGTAGAGATGCGCATATTCGTTCGCTTTTCCATATTCGGCGTATTCGGTATCACTCGGTGGCGTAGTGGATTAGCGCCGCGGCCCGCGATCGTTGTTGTTAAGCAATTTTCGCTATGGTCGGTCACAGGATGGGTGACCAAAAAAAAAAATATTATCTCGTGCTATTCCGTGCTTCGGAAAGCACGTTAAGGCGTTGGTCCCGGCTGCATTTGCAGTTGTTGAACCCTCCAATCCGCATTGGGCCATCGTGGAGGATTAAATATTATTATACATGATTATATTTATTTTATAATACAGCGCATACTCAAAACTGTATTTGCTTGTGAAAGAAACAACTCTGTAATTAATTCGTTACAATGAAAAATATACGTTATAACTTCTGAAACTTAAGTTATTTTTTATTTATTATTAATATACCAAATACTAGGGGAAAGTGGAGGAATTGGGAACACTTAACTTCTAAAGGTCAAAAATAATAGTAAAACATCATAGACATAATCAACTTTAATTGAAACATAAACTTTGCTTATTTTTTTACTTATTGCTTACAAATAAATATTCAAAATCAACGATTTATTAAAATTATCAGAGAAAACAAGAAACATTGTCGTTCCCTTTTACCCGATATCCTATGGGGTAAATGAGATCATCCCTCGGGGGAAATAGGAACGGTGTGGGGTAGTTGAGATCGACGAAATCAAGTCTTTATAATTAGATAATTACTTCTTGGTGTGGCATATATCACATACGTAACCTTTACTAGTCTCCCCAGCAGTACATTTTTCATGTGCCCAGTGCTTACAAATAGAGCACATGATCCAATCTTCTCTCGGTGGGGATTCATATTTTTCATTGCACATTATACAGTGAAACTCCTCTTGATTTTCATTGTTTTGTAAAGCCTTCTTTAGATTTCTGACTCCTTTTGCAATGTGCGATTTTTTAGCAGGAACTTTTTCTGTTTTTGCTTTTCTTTTGATTTGTCTTTTCTGTTTTTCTTCTAGTTGAACTTTTATAGGTGTGCTGGATAAAATTTGAGAATGCTTCTTATTCTTTCGCTTAGAAGCTGCTGGTTTTGGAATGACAGGTACATTAACAATATCAGCAAGAGGCACAGAAGTGGATGGAGGTGTAGAATGGATAGTAACGCTCAAATCCTTGTCATTTTCAATAATAGAAGTGGAATCTTGCATTAATGTTTGGTTCTGATTGATACTGCTAATGGACACATTCAAATTTAGCTCAGCTTCAGTTACAGTTCTAGTGTTCATGGACTTACTCAAACTTTGTTCAGCTACAGGTAGATCATGTATAATATTTTCGAAGGTGTCTTTAAATGTGTCAGGATTGATAGGATAAATTCCAGCTGCTCTAAATCCACTAATAGCCTTGCTTATATTAGCTATTTTATTGTACGCTCTTGTAAATAGTTCTCCAACCTCGTATTGGGTTATTCGTTTACCAGGATTATTTACCATGTAGAGCTCACAATCTTTATTGTACGCTATTTTCAGAGGACTGAAAACTGTAAGAAGGAATAGTGGCTGCATTTTATGAGACACATGAGGTGGCAACGAAAGAACTTTGAGATTGTGTTCTCGGAACAGCGCGTATGCTCCCAGGCTGATATGACTTTCGTGATTATCGAGTACAACTAAAACTGGATCATCTTTGGTCGGCTTTACAAAAGAAATGAAATGTCGCAAGAAGTCAATAAATATGGACTCATTTATCCAGCCAGAATCAGAAACAGTAGCTATCATGTCGCTGTTACAACCTTTAATTAGCAGTTCGCTCATTCTCTTTCTTTTGAAGATAAACATGGGAGGTACATATATGCCACTAGCGCTATTAGCACAAACTATTGTTGTTGTAACACCCCGTTCTCCACTTGTCGCTTTTGCTATCTGCTTTACGCCCTTAGGAGCCAAAATTTTGTAATTTTTTTGAACCATGCTAATGCCAGTTTCATCAATATTAAAAATGCGATGACTAGGTATATTGTGTTTAGCTTGAATCACTCTTAGTTGATCAAAAAACAGATTTACTTCAGTGGCGTTAAAAGCGGTTATTCTATTAAGTGAAGTAGCTTCACTTGATAGAATAACCGCTTTTAACGCCACTGAAGTAAATCTGTTGAACTAATGGAAGGATGACGAGACATAAAGCCATAATACCAGTCTTTACCTGCAATCTGGGTCTCCTTGTTAAAATTGTGTTTTAATTTGTTAGCTTCAGCAAATCGAAAAGCAATTCTGCGTAATGAATTTGGTGTTATACCATAAAAAGCCTTGCAGCATTCAAGTATATGATTTAGTAGCTCTTCTTCTTGTTCTTTGTTAAATACAGTGTGTCTCCCTTTTTTTGGTATCTTGAATTTGTCCAGCTTCAATTGTTTAAATAGTGTTGTTTTTGGTATTGAAAATTTGGTTGCAGCTTGGCTCAATGTAAGCTTTTTATTTTTGACATCTTCAATCGCATGGCGAAGATCTTCAATCTCATACTTCGTTGCAGTCTTTCGTATGTAGTTTCGAGGCATCTAAAACAAATCGTACCGTTAGAACATAGTTTAAAACAACAATCCAGTAGCATAGGGGTAAATAAGAACAGTACGGGGTAATTAGGAACGTTCCCAATTACCCGCCGGACTCTGTTCCCAAATGCCCGAAGTACTCAATATTAATCAACATGGCGGCCATCGGCTATAGCACATTTGTTGACCTTCAAGTAACGAGGGGTTCGAAAACAGATATCACATGCATGATTATTACGAAATATGGAGTTTGTAATTTCATAATAATTAAATTTACATCTATTATAAACCAAGACTAAAATTATAAAAGAATTGCAAAAAATATTGTTCGACTCACCGTGACAGCGCGCGCGCGGTGTTTCACTTCTAATGTCGCATGGGCACTGAGGGGCGCTGTGTGCATCCATTCAACGGTAGCAGGACGGTGTAGTGCGGGGGGAAGTACTACTTATCTACCTTTTCCCAATTACCCGTCGTTCACAATTCCCCCACTTTCCCCTACTATGTACTATAGAAACGCAATATTCGTTGCTACAGTATCGCACTGCATCTCACACTCAGCAAAATCAGTCAAGTTTTTAGATAAGAAAAAAAATATTTTGAACAAATTAAAGTTGTGTTTACCTTTTCTAAGTGTAAATTTATACATAAAAATAATCTACATTAATATTATGTGCATAAAAATCTCACTGTATTGCCTTTAACTTTTAGTTCAATTTCAATTTCTATATACTCTAGGCATTATGTTTGGGATCTTAAAATTGATAGAAAAAAATATACAGGCCACATGCAGAGTCCCATACGAATAACAAATTTCCCCAATCGATTTTAAACATTTTAATATATTGAGGGTAAACCCATCCCAGAATGCTTGTTTATTCGCACTCGTTTTCCTATAAGTGGAATCTAAATGAATATAGATATCAACTTAAGGTACCAAAGAAACTGAAGTGCTATCTATGCTAATATTATAAAGAGAAAAAATATTAAATTTTACATTGAACAGGCATCGATAGGGGAGACCTAGATGAGTTGTGACAGAGGTGAGTTGTGACAAGGAGGATTTCTCTCTACGTATTATAGTAAGCGAGATGGCATTAACGCTTGTTTGTCGTTCTCGACACGCGCTACACGACTCAGTACCTGTCGTAGGTGCATGTGGCACAGTTGCGTAAATATATCGTCAGTGTACAAAAAATTACGAAAAGTAAGTTTTTCTTCAAAATATTATTTGAATATATATCATATCTTAGTACATGTGCATTGATGTGTTATTTTTTCTTAACTTATGTAGTTATTTAAGTCTCAATACGTGGCACTGATTTTTTGTATGCGCATCGTGTTTAGAAAATATGAATTATTATTCGGACCAAGACGTCATTTTGAACACCTAGGCGAGTTGTGACAGCCTGTCACAACTCTCCTATCTTACTCCATATTTCTGCTGGGCTATTTTTACAAATTTTTTTATTAACTTTAGATGTTTGTTGGTGTGTTAGTAGCTACTTAAGGTGTATAATGGCATACCGCGTACTTATTTTTTTGAGAATGCCAAATAACTATACACGAGAGACTGAAAATCTAAGAATGTTAAGAAGCGTGTTTTAAGCGAAGAAAAAAAAGGAAACCTAAAAAAGCAAAGAAGACTAATAAGAAGAATAGAACAAGTGATGAAGAAGATGCAGAAAATAATTGCTTTTATTTGGTTTGCGTTGAAGCCTATGCAGACAGCAGATCGAATTATCAGTGGGTCCAAAGCCTGGAATGCAAAGGCTAGGCACACGTAGATTGTACTGGGGACGAGCTGCATTACGTTTGGCATAATTGTGAATCTGATTAGATTAAGATTTTATACTGATTATAACAATAATATGATTGATCTCAAAGCGATACCATATTCAGTTAATGAAAATATTATAATTACTTGTTATGAGAATATTAATACTATGATGTTTTAGTTGGTAGGTATTACAAGATGATTAATCAAATCAAATCAAATCAATCTTTATTGTTGATCGCAGGTTATATAAAGATATTGGATGCAAGGACTGAATAGTTACACCGTGATCTGCCTAAAAGGCATACAATATTAGTAGGTTAGTAATTGTCAACTAATCTAATCAATAACATGTTATGTCAAAAATTCATTAATTCATTAAGTATTTATACATTTACAAAGTACTGTCAGCTAGATACTCGTTTACACTATAATATGCTTTAGCTACTAATAATTTACAAAGTTTTCTTTTAAAAACATTACAATTATCCAGATTACGTATTGTTTTTGGAATTTTATCAAAAATTTTTGGAGCCATACAAAAGATACTTTTGTTCAACAGAGCTATCTTAGAGGGTATCGTACACAATTTGCCTCGATGACGCAATCTCGTCTTATTTTCATATAGTTGTTGATTCTGTTTGACAAAAATACCGACTTCGAATATATAGATTGATGGCAGGGTCATAACATTTAGTTTAATAAAATATGGCCTACAGGTATCCCTGCTCTGTAAATGACATATGCTCCTAACACATTTTTTCTGGGCTCTAAAGGCAGTTACAGAATCAGTCGAATATCCCCAAAATATAATGCCGTATCGAACAGTAGAAACTACGTACGCGTGATAAGCTGTAAGGACCGTGCACTGATTCGCGATCCTACTAAGTTTGTACAGTGCACAATAATACTGGGACAACTTTTTGCAAACATGTTCAATGTGTGTTTTCCAAGTCAAATTTATTATTATAGTACTGATTAAAGTACTGATTTGATAAAAAACGTGCTTGATTTATTTATGTCGTATGTAATGGTATTTTTATATCTTATAGCTTAAATACAATGATGTCACAACTT